ATATACAACATGATTTTTTTGTTAATATAGTGTTAACTTATAAATATATGAAATTTAATATAATAATTTTTTAGTTAATCACATTATCATCTATTTTGTTTAGCTTATATATAGAGCATATCAGTCGGTAAACCATATTATCAAACTTAACAAGAGATTAATATTATTCGTGGTAAAGTTTCCACCCAAAAAAGGTTTTGACCTAATCCAGTCTAAATCAAACTCTTTTGCTTAGCCCACTTTAAAGTTATATTGTCCACATATTTTAATTTTAGGTTATGCATCGGTATGCTGGTAGAGAAAGGTGAAAAAAAAGTTAATTAGTTTAATGTTTTTTTACCTTGTATTCTTTATATAAAAATAATTTCGTATCTTTTCGGATTTCTTTAACAAAGTATATAAATCAAAGTTATTTTTTATATATTTTTAAAATAATTTTTTACTTCATTCCCTTTTTATATATTTCATTTCATTTTGCATACTCAACGAGCTTTTATGGTAAAAATTAATTAATACCCAAACACCTCTCACTTCTATTACTTTTATGGGTAAGTTCCTTTTTTTTTTAATGACAATGTTGATTTCGTTCATTTTAAATGTGTCTGCTTTCATGGGAGTGAAATAAATATGTTGTTAAAAATTAAAGAATGTGAGAATTTATAAAAACATAAAATTGACGTGAATTTATAGCAATTAACGAAAGTGAAACGCAATGAAATAATATTGAGCATATATAGAGTTCATTGAGTAAAGCAGTAGTCAAGTCAAGGCACAGAACGTACGTAACGAAACGTGGTGAAAGGGGCCATGTTTGACTTCCATGTTGCCGTGATTATCTATAAAAGTTTTGATTATCCACCCCACATATTTTTTTTTCAAAAGAATTTGCTTAATTTTTTTTAATTTATATTAACTCTTACAATTTATAAAATAAAAATTATGATTCTTTAAATAAAAATTATAATTAAATTTTATTATTTTTAATAAGAGTAAAATATTTTTTTAAAAAATTATTGATAAAAAATTTATAAAGAGTTCATTAATATTATGATATTTTTAAAGAATTAAATTATTATTTATATAATTAAAAAAATTTATTATTAATTTTTTAAAATTTAAACTCATCAAAATAAATGAATGGATCAAACCATTTTCCAATCAACATTTAGGAATAGTGCTGTGTTTCTTCTACATACATGAATGCACCAATAGATAAAAATTAAATCAAAATACCAAAGTAAAGCATTCAAGTCATTGGCCGAGCTAGTTGGTGACGAGGTTGATCGAATCACTTTAAAAAAAATTATAAATAGGATGGAATAAATTTACAACTTTGCAATTTTTTATATTTTGTACCATCTGAATTAAATAAAAAATATTTAAACTTAAAAGTGTATTAAATATGTAATATTTTAACATAAGAGATCATATAACATATTTAATATAATTTTTTAAAAAAAATGATAATCAATTATTTATATTATTACAATTCTAGTTATAGTGTAATTATTATTTTTAAAAATTGATTAATTTTTAAATTAATTATTTTGTGCCTTTAACTCTGAATCTTGACTTCACCACTGTTTCAATTCTTCATGGGTATGACACCAAATGCATGCTAAAAACATTCATACAACTAAGGTTGTTAAACTCACGAGTTTAAATAAACTCGTAACAAGAATGTAAATTCGAATAGTAAATTGTAAGAATTTGCTTTTATTAACAAATAGTCATTAAAATATGATAATTTAATTTAAAAATATTTAAAATATAATTTAAAGTTAAACCCATCTACATTGATAAATTATCACATACAAGACATAAAAATTTTAAAATAAGAGAACTTATTTTTGGTATTTTTGGTTTCTTTTTATTAATATTATTTTTGTGTTTCAAGGGTTTTTTCTTTGAATTAGGTCTTATAACTTTATGAATTGAATTTTTCATAGTGTATTACGAAGAGTCCAAATTTTTATAATTTTTACAATTTTTTTATAAATACAATATTAAAAATTAAAATAATCTTCTTGACAGGCACTTCCAAAACATTATGAGTTGAAAATTTTAAATAGAAACTAAATGTGCATAATTAATTGATAAAAAATTTAATTTTAAATTGAAAATGTGAAATTAAATATAGATTAAATTGATGGTGAACAGATTTATTAATTTTTACACATTTTTTTAAATTTTTATTTAATAAATATATAATAAATATTTCAAATTTAGACAGTTAGATTTTAATCTAAACATTCAAATCACATTGTCCTAAGGAGCATAATCATCAAAGTCAGTTCTACTCAGGATATCTCCATACTCTGTTGGTGATTTCAATTTTTCAAATCTCACATGGAAGAACTTTTCCTTAATCGGGATTTGACCTAACTTGAATGCGGATATATTCATTTTTATCCAAAACAAAAAAAAGATAAATATATAAATATATATATATATATATATCTATATATATATATAGCATTAGATGCTGCTGATTTGTCACAATTTTCACGTGAGTTGAAAGAAAAATAATTAAAAAACTAGTTTCCGAAAAAATAAATCATGAAAAAATACCTACGTTGAAAATAAACTGTGTTGCATAAAAGTAAGCTGTGTGTGTCTACAACTGTATTATTTATTAATTATAGATTAAAGTATACTTTTATTTTTTAATTTATATAATTTCATCTTAATTTCTTAACTTTATAAAATATTCTTTCAATCTTTTAACTCTAATAACGTTAGTTTTGTCACAAAAAAATTTTATATTAAACTTTTAAATATTGTCAAAAAATTATTAAATATTGACATATTAAGTTTTTTTTTAAAAAATAAAAATTTGAGATAAAAAATAATCGTTTAAAACTAATGATGTTAGGAATAAAAGACTAAAAAATAATTTATAAAATTAAGGGATCAAATTAAAATTGTATATAAAGTTAGAGAACCAGAAGTACACTTTAACCTTAATTATAAATAACATTGTTTATTATAGACTCAAGTAGGAGTGTTCAGCTTATACCTGTCCATTGGCCTGGTATCGTCCCAATTATATCTGAATGAATCTTGTCTCGATTCGAAAACAATCAAGACAGGACTTGCGAGATGGGACAGGAAAGGGGTTGGAATTGGATGAGACAGGAGATTACCATCGTGACGTCTCGTCCTGAATATATATATATATATATATATATTTTTATTTAAAAAATATACATTAAATATATTAATATAATTTTACTTATATTATTTTATTAATTATAACTTCAATACGTGTAATTTTATTTAAAACTAAAATTTTTTATATTGATAATTTTAATGACATAAAATAAATAGGATAATATCTTTTTTTAATATATTAATTATATTAATATAATTTTTTCTTATACCTATCTACTTAATAACGCTCATTTATATCATATTTTTTAATTTATTTTCAGAAGAGTAATTAGCTTAGTGCGTTTCAACTAAAGTAGACAAATAATAATTTTATTGTGCTTGATTGATCTATTTTTACTGCTTTTATAGCTTAGAGATCACTTATAATTGCTATTATAATGTGTAGTTATGATTAATATAATTTAATAATTGACTTTAAATTGTTGTGATTTATGTACTTGTGTTGTTTTAATTTTAAACTTAATAAATTATATGATTTAAAATTTTAATAAATGTTATTATTTATATCTTTCTCCAATATTGTCCAATTTATCGGGATAGCGGGACATCCCGATCTTGTCCCGATCCTGCCCCGCTTTCTAATAAGATGAGACAATTTTCGAGACAGGATGGGATAGGACATAGACAAAAATTTAGTCTCAATGTTTTTTCAGGACAGGATATGGGATAGTGGTGCCTCGATCACGTCCTGTGAACACCCCTAGACTCAAGCTCACCTCTAATAAAAATAACAATAAATTGAAACAAACTAATAAAGGACATAAATAATTTGGTAAAACCAGGGAGAATCACATAGATGATTAAAAAAAAAAGGAGAAATGCATAGAGAGGATGACAAAAAAGTCCTTTTAAGTCAACATAAGTCCTCGGTGCTAGACTTCAAAAATTTATAAGTTCAATTCTTAATTTTATAATTTTATTATTATAAATTTGTAACTTATTTTTTAAATTTTAATATGGTTGAAAAATAAATAAATTATTTTCTCTGTTAAATTTTGAAACATGAGTTACAAATTTATCAAAATAAAATTACAAAATTGAGAATCAAACTTATAAATATTTAGAGTTTAATACTTGAGACCTAAGTTGAATTAGGACCTCTTTGACATTCTCCCAATGCTTATCATTTAATTGCTCCCTCCATCTTTAATATAAGATAATTTTTGAATTTTTTTTGTTTTAAGATAAGACAAAGTTAGAGTAAGTAATTTTTTTTTAATTTTACCCATCTGTATTTATTATATTTTAACTCCTATACAATAATTTACTATAGTTATCAATTACAAAAAAAAAAGACAAAATTAGACAGTCGCATATATTTTTAACAATTACTAAAATATAACTATCATTTATTAATAACGATAAAGTTGGTTAAGTTCAGTGCATAGAGGTATCAGTGTCATCCCCTTCCTAAGTACATTGATGATGTCTGTAGAATGTTTATAGGTCTCCATCTTTGAGCAGTATTATTAACTTAAGAAATACAATCACATAATTAAATAAGCGAATTAATTAATTTACACACACAATTATTATTGCGGAAAGCACAAAGTGATGATGGCCCTTCATGGTCTCAAAATGGACTTGATTTGCCCAAGCCCAATACGGCCCAAAACCAAAATCATGGGCTAACTTTAATAGCCCTTTTAATACCACACAAAAGCCTACCCCATCACATTCAGAACCCAAAACCCGGCCCATTATCTTATGATTGCAACCTTTCTCAGACAAGACCTGTCAAGAAATTAACTTGAAACTAATAAAAATTGATCTAGTTAGTAAGAATTTAGTCTTTAAGTACTTTTGTAAGCTCTCATTAAGTCTAAATGTATGCTCTCACCCTGGTAGGCCTCGGAACACAATCCACTTAAATTTTTTTGTATATAAAAAAAATAACTTGACAACGTTCAATGCCAAGGGAATTATTATGAAAGTGAGAGTCTTGATTGACTTTAAAGAGCTTAGCAGATTGATTTGAACTATAAATTCTTGTAAGATGATGAATCATGACATGTCATTTGAGTTTTTGCTTCAAGAAATTTCCTTTTCATGGATTTGCAGAACAACTTGGTTTTCTGAAATCTTTTTGTCCAACAACTTACACCCCCTTGATAGTTTCTATTAACTTAAAAAAAGTGAGAGGTCAGAAGAAAATGCTGATGGGACAGTGGCAAAATGAAAGCATTCCCATAAAAAAAATGTGAACTTTGCCCAGAATGACATAGCAAATGTGTTGAAAACATTTCAACTCTTCATGTTTGGTTTGACTTGCCTTGCCATAGTTAGTGAATCAATCAAAAAATTGTGTTAGGCATGCAATCAAATAAAGTGCTCAATAAAGTATTGTAAGTTATCTGCACACACTTAGATGAATCATGCATGTTGAATGATTATGAAAATAATTAATTAAATGTCCATTTGAATTTCAATTAGGTATAATTTTTTCACATATCTTTCTTGTAATTCGAACATAGAAACTCACATTCGTAGCTTATAAAAAAAAAAATTAATTTTTTGGATAAAATCAATCACCCACTTAATTGGTGATTGGGTAATAACTCAAAAAAATGATTTGTTAATTCAAAAAATCAATTATTATACATATCCAAACACGCAGATTGTATCTAATTAGCTATTACTTTTCGTGCAATACACAGGGTAGTAAAAGACTAGTTCTCATAAAAATATGAACTTTGCCGAGAATGACAAGGCAAATTGGCAAGTTTCTCTGTTTCAGTAAACGTCAGAAGGGGAAAAAAACCTTGTTTGTTTCCTGAGAGAGAGAAAGGGAGTTTAGAAATGCATGTAATGTTTTGAATTTAAAAAAAAAGCACAGTATGCAAACAATCAGAGTAAGTTAGTTTCAATTAAGAAATTGAAATTCAAGTTTAAATTTAAAGCTGTGTAAGTTGTGAAATTTCGCAAGAATTTTAAAATTAACATTTTGAATAATGACGAGATTATTTCCGTAGATGAGGAAAGCACTCATAATTTGCTCATTATGTTTAAATTAGAAATTTAAAATTATGAATATGTTAATGGGAAGTTGAGATATATAAGGAGAAATATTTGGGGTAGGCTGGTTTTATTTTTTTATGTATAAGAAAAATTTTAAAAATAAAAACATAAAGTGCATTTCTCATTCCCTGACTTGTGCTTGTGATTCAATTATTATATATATATCGCTAGATTTTTAAAATTAAAATATAAAATTATGAGTTGAAAATTTGGGTAAAGGTGGGTGATTTTCGGAGAAAAGCACAAATAATAATTATGTGAAGTTACAACCGAGCATCAGATGTTAAATATTTTAACCTAAAGGATTGAAAGGAAAACATTAAAAGTACATTTACATTTTTATGATCTAAAATAAATTGCTTTACCATTTCCCCCTTATTATTTATTAGCGGGATTATTATGGAAGTTCTCACCCAAGAAAAGTTAGACGAGATTATTAAATTTGATTAAATTCTGGAATATTATATATGGAGATTGTTATTTACTAAAATTAAAATATAAAATAAAATGAATGCATATTTTATTGTGAAATAAACATTACAAAAAATTATAAATTCAAGTTATGCAGATTTTTAATTCTCACAACATGCGTGACATGAAAATAAAATATAAGGAGTGCTAAAAAATTATTAGAATGATATTGAAGTAAGAATTTTGTTATCATTTTGAAATAACAAGTGGAAAAATTAGTTATGAGTATCATTAAAGATCTCATACTAATCCAAAACAGAATGCATTTAAATCGCAAAAGTAATCCCTTCCTCTAACGTTGTGGAATTTTTCAAATTTTTTACTAAACAAACCTCTGACTACTCTCACTTCCCAGCAAGTCTTCTTCTTCTTCTTCTTAGTTCTGAATCCATTTATGCATTCTTCTTCTTCTTCTTCAGGTGAGTCCAAAATCTTCAGTTTCCCTCGTCTTCTCTGTTGCTAGTTCTTCTCTTCATTCTCTTAATAGCTTTGCTTCGCTCAGGTTTGTGTATTGGGTGTTAGTTCCGTGATATCATATGTATATATTGTAATGTGTTTAATCTCATCAGCTTAATTAGCTTCCAAAACTATCATTTATTATTATTTTCCAGTGCTATATAAAATTCAAGAATGTCAATGTTACGCTTTTATATATGTCGATGAATAATCAGGACAGAGTCTTTTGTCCTTCTTGTTATTTATCTTTGATGAGTCTGTGAGTTAGCTTTTTGGTTCAAAACTGATCAATCACAGAGAAAGTAAAAATATCTTGGTACTTGCAGATCTGAAACCATGGTTTTGCTCTCTCACATCTAAAGGATGAGTAAATAATGACTAGCATAACAACAATATTGAAATTTATATTTAGGAGTCAATTAACTTCAATAATATTTTTTTTTAATGTTGAGGCGTTTGACACAATTCAATTTCATGAAGGCCTATTTGTTTGCTAGAAAGAAATAGATTGGAAAAAAAAAATAAAAGTAAAAATATAATAATCAAGATATGAAAAACAAAATCGTCTATGTTCATGAGGAAGATGAATAATTTAATTTATGAAGTTGGAAATCATGATTCATGAAATTTGTTATGGGTATTATGATTCTCGCATTTGGGATATGTGCTATTGGCATTTTTTATGTTTATATTAAGGGATTGAATAATTTAGGTTATTTTTCTTTCTGGCAAGCAAACATGCCATAAGATCATTATCCTTATTTCTTTAATCTATTACATTCTTTTTCTTTCTGGCGAGCAAATGGATCCTAAGATCATAATCAATCATTCCATTATAATGAATCATGTAAGTTTTCAATGGATGAAAATCTAGTTAAACCAATGTTTCTTGCTGCACCAAATTTGTCAACGAGATTTTAAGCTTGAAATTAATACAGTCTTCAGAGTTCATATATGAAGATTATATCAAAGACTTGATTGATTGGTGCTGCTGCACTTTTCTTTATTGTTCTATTTTCATTTCAGGATTGTTGGATTCTTGAAAGTTTATCGTCACTGTTGGATTTTAGTTCTGTTGTGTTGTTGTATTATGTTGTTTTATATCTATTCCAAATTTGAAGAATGAGTTGCAATTTCTATTATTAGAGCATTAACTTGATATTAATTTCTACATGTATTTATCTGTCTCTCTACTGTATTTTCTTGCATTAATTCTTCCCCTTTTGCCTTAGCTTATTATTAGTGTTCTGTATATTTAGAAAAAAAGGGATGGTAATCAACAAAAAAAGAAGAAGTTTATTTCGGTAATTTAAAATAAACATTACAAAAAAATTGGAATGAAAATTATGCAAATTCTTAATTCTCACACCATGACGTAAAAATAAAATATTAGGAGTGCTTTCCATCGGGAAAAAATATTAGGAGTGCTCAAAACAATTATTGGAATGATATTGAAGTTAGAATTTTGTTATTTTGAAATAACAAATTTCTGATTTTAAAATATGGAATATATAATCTTAAATTAATTTGTTTAAAAATTGTTATATCAGGAAAAAACTCAACCAAAAGCAACCAGAGGCAACCCCATGGTATGGTTCAACTAGAGGTAAGCACAAGCTTGTGTTTAATACCAGACACACTCCATTTTGTCATGTTTATAAGATAAGGAGAAAATGATTTTTTTTGTTATATTTATAAGGCATATTATTAAATTTTTATTATAATTTTTTTACCCATATTAAATGTATATGTTATTAGAATATACCTATTTAAGAGTATAAAAAAAAGAATATACTTATTTAATAGGGAAAAGTTGAAAATTTATTTAATTTTTAAAGATTCAGTGAGTGTTATATTTTTATTGATTCCAATAAAATATATTAAAAATGGATTATAAATAAAACTGAAAAAAGTGTATATTTATATGCATGTGAGGGGCGGGTGTGGTGTGGATATAAATATATGTATTAGTAATAAAATAAAAATACTAATAATTAAATGATAACTAGTTCATTCATTTTTGCATATCTTAAATAATTAATTTTTTAAAATAATTTAATATTAATATTCCAGGTTAATTTTTAAGACTCGAGTTATAAAAAAAAACTTAAAACCAAAATGACACGTTAACTTTTTTTTTAAATGTATATAACACATAAATTACTGAAAAAAAATTAATTATCAGTATCATTAAGGATCTCTTATTCAAAATCAGTTTAAGCTAAATGGCCTATTTGGATTATCATATTATTCGATTTTGGGACCCAAATAATCAATTTTTGAAAAAAAAAAACTCAAACAGCAAAAAAAGTTGATAATTGATTATTGAACTAAAATTATGTTTTGAAATAAGTTTTGGGAGGTTGTTTATAGATTCAATTTTACTGTTAAATAATTTTTTTTACTTCTTAAATAAAGTTTAACAAATTTAATAATATTAATACAACTTTATCAATAATTTAATTTTAAAAAGTAATGTCTTTTATGATAATTTGTACAGTTAAAATTAATTTCAATATCTAAAATAAAGTACGTTGTAACATAACTAATTATATTAATTAATTATTTTGATAATTAATTATATCCAAATGAAATTCAAAGGAACACAAACAAACATCTGACTTATGATCACAGTTTAAGCTCTACGCTCACTTCCCAGTAACAGTAAGTCTTCCTTTTCTTCTCAGTTCAGAAACCATTTATGCATTCTAAAAACTTAAGAGTTCTTGAGATTATTCAGCTATAAGCTTTGAATTTTCTTTTTTCCTAAATGCCTTGTAAATTTGAGTTTCATTTTAAATTTTAAATTAAATTGAGACCATGGAAATCTGACATAAATTAACTGTTATTTTTTGATCGTTCATTGCTATTTAATTTGGTACACATTTGGTGTACTTTGCCCATTTTATTTAGATCAACTCAAGGATTGACCCTACCCTTGAAGCATTAAGATGTACAACAAAGAAAAGAATAATATATCATCAAGGTAAATAAATACATATTATGATGTGATTCTCTATTCTCATTAATTACTTTTGTATTTCCCATTAATTTTTAATTCCAAATTTTCACTGTGTTCGTTTTCCTTCAATTCTGATGCCAGGTTCTCCAACCCAGCATCCTTGTCAAATATTGAGGTCCAAGTAAGATATGTTACTTTCAGCTTAAGAATAATGAGAAACACTATTCAACACTTTTTTCATAGAATTTTTTTAATTGGAGAAACACATTAAACAATCATATTCTTTAATTAGTCTATTAGTAGCAAGAACCAGTGATTTTGGAGGGCCAGACCTAAAATATTAGAACATATAAAAAAGTCTATACAGCTAAGGCTTGTTCTAATATAATGAGTTGGCCTGAATATTTAAATTATTAAATATTATTTTATTTTATTAACCAATTTCAATTTTTATTTAAAAAAATTAAGAGTTCCAATTATTATCTCATTTTAAGCTTATTTTATTAATAAGAATCAAAATTTTTGGGTATTTGGACTTGGCCCAAATTTCTATAAACTTATTTGAACTGAAATAAAGAAAATTTTTTAAACTCTCAAAATTTGTCTTAAAATTTTTTAGACTTACAAGGACGGGTATGCCAGGCTTGGTATGAATTATGAGTTCTACTACCAGCAAAGATCAATGAATTGTTCTCTCAAATGTGTTTAGCTCAGATGTATTGTCTTTCTCATTTGGAAATCGATGTTATTGATGGGTTTATATATCTTTTGTCATCTTTGTAGGAAGTTTTAGCTGCAAAATCAGCCAAAGTGGCTGCATTGCTTGAAAAGAAAAATTCGAAGGATGAAATCTCTACATTCCTCAGAAACATTCCAGCAAAACCAGAAACATTTGAGCTTGTTGTGAAATTCTGCTACGGCTTCGAACTTCAGATTACCTCTGACAATGTCGTCCCACTTGCCTGCCTGGCATGTTACTTAGAAATGAGTGAAAGTCGCAGCAAGAACAATCTCCTAGGAAGAGTCATAGCCTTCTTTCAACACACAGTTCTTCCTAACTGGAAGGAAACCATCAAAGCTCTACGTTGCATCACTGAACATCTTCATCAATCAAAGGAAATTGGCTTGTTTGATGCTTGTCTCGAGTCCATTGTCGAAAAGGTTCACCAAGATCCTCGTCTTCTTGGCGAACCAACGAAGAGAAACGATGGCGGTAATGATGGTGGGTGTGATGATAATAACAATAACACTTGGCCTAATGCAAGGAGAAAGCTATTTGTTCTTGATTGTGAGCAAGAGGATTTAACTACACTTCCTGTGCAAATTTATGAGCCAATTGTCCATGTCATGAATCTTCGAGGAATTGCGCCGGAATATGTCTCTGCATCAGTGTGTAAATACACAGAAAAATGGGTTTTTTCTTGCTTCATTGCTTCAGGAGGGGATCAGAAAATGTCAGCATACAAGAGGAACTCCATAAGAGAAATCATTGAGGCAATAGAGAGGCTTTTACCAAATGAGAAAGGGCTGATTCCTTGCTCACTCTTGTTTGATTTGCTGCGATTTTCGATCCTTCTCGGGGCAAGCTTGGACTGTGTCTCTGGATTTGAGACAAGAATAGGAAAACAGTTAGAGCAAGCATCACTGAATGACCTGTTCATACCTTGTCAGTGCATAAATGTTGAGTGTTTGAAAAGAATCTTGAAAAGTTTCTACAGGAACTTCAATGGATCAGACCCTTCAGGTTTTCTCAAAGTTGCAGAACTTGTTGAAGAGTATTTGGGAGAAGTAGCAAGTAGTGATGTAGATTTGGGAATAGATGAATTCATTTCACTTGCAGAATTGTCTGTTGCAGCATCTTTAGGATCACAAAGAGGTTCTGATGGAATTTACAGGTCAGATCCCATTGCATCACTCTAATAAACTTGTCCCTTCCATGATTTTAAGCATGCCATTTGACAAAAACGAATCCTAGATAATAGATAGTTTCATATCAAGTCTCAAACTATTGACAGTAACTTTTGGTCCTGAAGGCTACTTTAGCAATTACAATCTGTAGATTCAAAAGATTAATGCTTTATTTGGAATTGGAATAAAATAAGGAGAAGAGAAAGTTAAGAGAGAAAAACTAGATTGAGGGGAAAAAACATTTTCCATCCTTGTTTCCCTTAATTTCCTCATAGCTAGAAAGTGAGAAAACTCGAGGAAAAACTTTGTTATGGAGGAAAAATATCTCTGTGAGTAGATGAGAAGAAATATACCTGACGTGATGCATCAATTGGGTCGCGTGAATAGAGCTTTTGCTCTGTAGTGAATGCATAGTCAGTACATTGTCACACACTAGCTTCCCATATAAACTACCCACATCCGTTAGTTCATGCTGATCATGCAATGTTATAATAAGCGTTCCCTCTCATTTCCAAATAGGCAAGAGAAATTTGCACTAAAGACCGGGATCATATTACACATAAAGACCCAAACTTTATCAATATTCTGATAAAGCCTCACGGGCTTATATTTTGAGCCTATTGGACATGATTCAGTAGGGGCGGATAACCCAACAATCTTTTTTTTTTTTAATTTTCTCTCCTTATTTTCTTTCCATTTCAGACAGATTGTGGAGTTTACTTAAACTAGAAACTTCACAGTGAATTATGAAATCTGATTCATGTATAATTTGTTTTGTCATACCCATACCATCTTCTAGTGCTGCTTGTTTATGAGAATATGAAAACAACGCCATGAACAACCTTTTTGTTAAAACTGAAGTTTGAGTTTTATTTTTTTGGCAGGGCTATTGACTTATACTTGGAGAAGCACAACAATTTGACAGAAGCAGAGAAAGAACAAGTATGTCAAGTTATGGATTGCCAAAAGATGTCACAAGAAGCTCTGCAACATGCTGCACAAAACTCGAGGCTTCCATTGAGAACTGTGGTGCAGATATTATTTGTAGGGCAATTACATCTACGAGACAAAATAGCTTCAGAGGCGCAGGAAAAGACAGAGCAGAAGGTGATAGAAGATCATCAGGAAGATGAGGAAATGCAGTTGATTAACATGAAGGTGAGTGAATTGGAGAGAGAGAGCCTTTTAATGAAGAAAGAGATTGAGAAATGCCATAGAAAGAACAATGTTACGAAGAAGGAGAGTGTAAGTGTGTGGACGAAGATGAAGAGAAAGTTTGGATGCATTAGCAACAATAGCACGCATGAAGGATATTATCGAATGAATAAAAAGAAGCTTCCACCGCAAAATGATGTACGACATGAAGAGAGATGTCGTTTTGTTTAACTGATTTTTATTTTTTTAAAATTAATTATTTAGTCATTATACTTTTGATTGAATTGTAATTCAATTTTTAAATTTTAACTCGATATAATTCAATTTTTTAAATTTTAATTTTATTATAATTCAATTCCTGATTTTTAACTCCATACAGCTACCTGTTTATATGATTTAACTATTTAAAATGCTAGTCTCTACATTTTTAAAATATTATTATAACTGTTAAAATTGTTTTAAAATTTTAATCTTCATAATTCTTATAAAATTAAGATTTTTAGTAATTTTAAATACTAATCCCTAAATTTTGACATGATTTTAATTTTTTTAATTTTATTTTCAAAATATAAGAACTAAAATTTTAAATAGTTAAAACTATAGAAACTGAATTGTAACAAGTCAAAATTTAATAGCTAAATTACAATGAAGTCAAAATTATAAAAATTAAGTTTTAAATTCTAATAAATAAAAATTTTATAATTGAATTGCAATTGAAACTAAAATTTTAGGATCAAATGATTGATTTTTTCTATTTTTTTTTCAAATTACATGTAATTGATGCATGCCCTACCTGAACAGCTGAACTACTTAATTATTTCCTTGTTTCTTGCACTTGTCATAATATGATTAATTTGTACTGTATTCGAACTATTTAAATCACATTTAGTTTTAATATAAGATTTAATTTTTTTAAGACATTAAATTTGAAATGAATAAATAATTCTAAATCATTATAGTTGAAATGCCCATAGTCAACTTTTGCTTTTCATTAGTGTGGCCACTTGATATATATGCACTATTGATGGTTTCTTTTTTCTAAAATAATTTTTTTATATTAAAACAAAAGTTAAAATAAACATAATGCACATAAAAAAGTTATGGAGCAAATGGTTAATGTCTGAGTAAGCTATTGAAGAAAAATGCTGCTCATGAATCCTATTGATTTGTACTACAATATTAGAAATATCATAATGTGCACAAAAGAAATTAATCTACCAAAAAACAACCCTTAAAGCAAAATGAAATGATGTGAATAATTTATGAACGGATAATTAGATTATAAGAAGAATGGTATTAAGGGCTTTAAAAAGTAAGAATTTTGCAGATAAGGCCTAATAGAATATAAAATTATTCTAAGGGCCTAAAGGCCTTATTTGTAATTATGTTTTTTGGTGAAATGATCAATTTGTCCCTCCCATAATCAGCTGCTAAGCGACAATTTCTTCTTCTTCCTCCCTGTTCCTTCTCTCTCTTCCTCTTTCAATACTGATGCAATAACCAAATTCATCTTCTTCCTATCATGCTTCTCTATTCCCTCTCTTCTTCTTCCTTCTTTCTCTCATTTTGAAGCCTTTTCGTTTAAACACGTATGAGTAGGCAATTCACTTTTATTCAGATGGCTATGGAGAAGACAATTAGGCATTCACCTAATTACATTCCTCTCACGCCAACCAGCTTCTTGGAACGATCAGTCATAATGTGGAAAGAATGGATCAAGCTGCTGCATCTGTCGTCATTAATTTTATTTTGTCAAAAAAAGATATAGAGAAAGAGTTTGAGCTATATCAGTTTTATCTAGTCATAATTTACATGTTTACATTCATTTAATGAAAACAAGCTATTATTTATAGACTTTTTATTGTTTCTGATATATATTTTTCTACAGTTGATATACATGTTCTAGTGTGGATGTTATTTATGAATTGTATGTTGTTATTTATAGAATTTACTTTATACAAGCTTTGCGATTAACTTGTGCGGATATTTATGTGTATCATATCAACAAATCTTGCGTTGTAAATATATAAACATTGTGTTATTAGTAAATGGATACTTTTATGTTATATACGAACTTTTTGTTCTTCATAAATTTGAGAAACTTTTTCAAATGTTCAGTTTAATTACACAAATTATGTGAAATAAATGGACATGGTATTGTTAATAAATGGACGTTGTCATGTTATATACAGACTTTTTATCGTTCATATGCTTGAGAAACTTTTTGTTAAGCCTAACCAATTGATAAACTGGACACACATGGACTTTCAGTTTATAATATAAGAAGACTATGTTGTGTATAGTGGATGTTGTGTTATACATTGTTTGCCCAACTTGTATGGACTTTCATTTGAAAATATATGAAGATTGTGTTGTACATAGTAAATATTGTGTTGTACATTGTCTGCCTAACTTGTACATTTTGTTAAACCTAACCTACTAATAAACTAGATACGTATGGACTTTCACTTGAGAATATATGAACTTTGTATTGTGCATGGTGGATATTGTGTTGTACACTACCTGCGTAACTTGTACATTTTATTAAGCCTAATCTACCGATAAACTGGACATGTATGGACTTTCATTTGAAAATATATGAAGATTGTGTTGTGTATAGTGAATATTGTGTTGTACATTGTCTACCTAACTTGTAATTTTGTTAAGCCTAGCCTACTGATAAACTAGACACACATAGACTTTTAGCTGAGAATATATGAACATTGTATTGTGCATAGTGAATATTGCATTGTACATTATTTGTTTAACTTATACATTTTGTTAATCTTATCTTATTGATAAACTAGACGCGCATGGATTTTTATTTCGAGTATTTCACTAGCTTGGTCTAAACAAAAATGACAAGTTAAGCAAACCATGCATGACGCAACATCCACTATATACAAGACGATGTCCACGAATGCTCAACAAAAAGTCCATACATTTTTAATATTAATAAAGACAATTACATCATATAAGAATTTTATTTTGGTATTAGCCTAAGTACTAAAATAAGTATTCACATGAAATTTAACATGATATTTCAAATCTGATATATATAAAAAATTAGCCACCATATCCAAAACATCTGCCATGCCAAGCAAGAGCATTCACGCAATTCAAGATTTACTCGCACATCTCCATTTAATGTTTTCACCCTGACAGTGTTTAGCACATAAAAATTTTCTCGCAATGTATCACCTTTCAACACATTTTCCTTTAGCTTGGTCTCCACATTTGGTCCAACTTTATTTGTCCATTTTTCCAATGTCACTTTGCTATTGTGTAGCTTTTTTGCTAATTTCTCCCTATGCTCGCACATAAAAACAACAATATTATATTTTCTTTCCTTAACAACCCAAGAATTGAAGGACATACACATGAGCAGTTCTTTTATTGTATTTAAGCAATTGTTCCACTCCAACATCATTAAGAAGATCTATGAATGTGCTTAAATCAATCTCAATTGTGAACTTTATGTCACTTTCATTATCACCATGGCAAGCTTCTAATGATATAAATGATCTTAGCTTTGTATATTTCATTCCTTTGTTATAGTTCTGGCAATTACATTTTCACCCTCATATTTCATACTACTATCAACACTCCTCACAAATTCACCACCATAATTGAAGAAACAAAACAATTTTTCTCTAAGCTAATGAAATACTCGAAATGAAAGTTCATGCGTGTTTAGTTTATTAATAAGACATGATTAACAAAATGTATAAGTTAAACAGATAATGTACAATGTAATATCCACTATACACAATACAATGTTTATATATTCTTAACTGAAAGTCTATGTGTGTCTAGTTTATTAATAGGCTAGACTTAATAAAATGTACAAGTTAGGCAGACAATGTACAACATAATATTTATTATGCACAATACAATCTTCATATATTCTCAAATGAAAGTCCACGCGTGTCTAGTTTATCGATAGACTAGGTTTAACAAAATATACAAGTTACACAAGTAATGTATAACACAATATTCACTATGCACAATATAATATTTATATATTTTCAAGTGAAAGTCCATACGTGTCTAGTTTATTAGTAGGCTAGGTTTAATAAAAAATACAAGTTAGGCAAACAATGTATAACACAATATCCACTATGCACAACACAGTTTGCATATATTCTAAACTAAAAGTCCATGTGTATTCAGTTTATTAGTTGGCTAGGTTTAACACAAAGTTTCTCAAGCATATGAACAATAAAAAGTCTGTATATAACATGACAACGTCCATTTATTAACAACACAGTGTCCATTTATTTCACATGATTTGTATGATTAAACTGAACATTTGAAAAAGTTTCTCAAGTTTATGAAGAACAAAAAGTTTGTATATAGCATAAAAGTATCCATTTACTAACAACACAATGTCCATATATTTATAACACAAGGTTTGTTGATATGATACACACAAAAATCTGCACAAGTTAATCGCAAAGCTTGCATAACGTAAATTTCATAAATAACAACATAAATTTCATAAATAACATCCACACCAGAACATGTATATCAACTGCAAAAAAATATGTATCGGAAACAACAAAAAGTCTATAAATAACAACTTGTTTTTATTAAATGAATGTGAACACGTAAATTATGACTAGATAAAATTGGAATGGCTCAAACTCTCTCTCTATATCCTTTTTTGACAAAATAAAACTGATAACGGCAGATGCAACAGCTTGATCCATTTTTTCTACACTATGACGGATCGTTCCAAGAAGCTGGTTGGCGTGAGAGGAATGTAATCGGGTGAATGCCTAATTGTCTTTTCCATAGTTATCTGGATAAAAGTGGATCACCTACTCATTCCTGTTTAAACGAAAAAGCTTCAAATGAGAGAAAGAAGAAAGAAGGAGGAAGAAGAATAGAGGGAATAGAGAAGCATGATAAGGAGGAAGATGAATTTGATTATTGCATCAGTGTTAAAAGAGGAAGAGAGAGAAGGAAGATGGAGGAAGGAGAGAGGAAGAAGAAGAAATTATCGCTCAGCAGCTGGTTATGAGAGAGACAAATTGGTCATTTTACCAAAAAATATAATTGCAAATGAAACCTTTAGGCCCTTAGAATAATTTCATATTCTATTAGGCTTTATCTACAAAATTATTACTTTTTAGGACCCTTAGTGCCATGTCCCCTAAATTATAAGAGAAAATTAATAATTTTAAAAATTTTAACATAGTTGTAAATAAAAAATCAAGTATTTCAAAATCTTTAATGAAATATTCCTTATTGTGTTAAAAATTAAACTAAAATATAGGTTTTGAAAACAATGCAGAAGTCTCTTGTAATTTTAGCAACAAAAAGAAGGTAATTATATTTTGTTTTAAATTTTAAAAATTTTACAAAAAAAATCATTACCAAAAAACCGGAAAATCAAGAAGCAGGTAACATGTCTGAATTTTGTGACATTGAAAAGGGAGATTGACAATAAGTTTTTAAAATTTAAAATATATGATGGTTAAGTTTTTAATAATTTTTTAAAAATAAATTGTATATATTGATTTAAACATTTATAAATATAAATTACAATTATAAACTGAGACTTTGTTTAAATTTAAATATCTTGTTTATAATTAAATTTAAGAAATTTGGTCAGGATTTAATTGTTACGAATTCTGAATTTTAAGACTTTAATGTCATTGTTCCCGTTGATAATTGAATTGAGCCATAATTACCGGCCCGAGTCATAAATTCAAACTTCAAACATCGGTTACCAATTTAACCGCCGATTATGATCAGAAAATGCCAAATTTCAAGTTTCCATTTCCTTCCTTCCATTATCGTCGTCACCTTTTTCCCTCTTTTTAATTTGCGTTCCCTCCTTTTTTTAGGGTTTTAGTGTGAAGGAGGTTGATTAACAGTAACACTATTGCTCTCTCTCTTCCTTCCTTCACAAGTCTCTCTCTACTGCGAACTTGACGTCACTCACAATACAACTTTGAAAAATTTTCAAATAATTCCATCCCCCTCCCCCGCCATGGCCGTAGATCCCAATTCCGCCGCCGCCCCCGCCGCCACCTCAACGACCTCCTCATCTGCTGCAACGGCTGTAACCTCCGTTGCGGCCGCCACGACAATGGCGCCTGCTCGTCCTTTGACGAGTCCACCGCCATTATCAAGACCTGTATCTCAGCTTTCTCAACCTCCTCCCATACAACTCCATAACTCTCATCTTTACTCACCTCAACCCTTCTACGCACCTCAATCGCTCCCCATCAGGGCACAAAACCCTCATTCCAATTCTCAGTTGCCCAAAACCCATGATCCTGTGCCTCAGGGTGTTCTTTACCCTGTGGCCTCTTCTGGCCGTGGATTTATTCCCAAAGGTGCTCGACCTTTATCCACCGATCAAATGGTCACTGTGGCGAACCCCGGTGTTTACCCACCGCCTCATTCTCTGGTGTTTCCCCATGGTGTTCGGCCCATGGGTTCGCCTCATTTAGATTATCATCTGAATTACCCCTTGCATATGGCGAGGCCTCCCAATATGCAGTACACTCATCTGGGTTTGGCTGGAGGCGCTGGCCCTGGCCCCATTAAGGGCGTTCCGGTTCCTGCTCACCCGAAGGTTTGGAGATGTTCGGGCTTTTAGTTTAATGGACTATGGTTTCTGTGGATTCTTATGCCTTAGAATTTTGAATTATGTTAAATGGTTGCAAAAGATTGCTCACTGGAAGAGCAACACACACACACACACACACACACTTCGCTATCTGTTACATATACAAATTTAGTCCGATGATCAAATGCTATAATTCTTAAGAATTGCGAATTGGCATGAATTTGAGGGTGGACACAGTCAAAATATCTTGCTCTGAACGAATATCTCCTGTGGGCTATTTAGCTTCTAGATAAGAAGCTTCAATTAAGCTGACATTTTTTATTGTACCAAAATTAGCGCATTTGAAAATGTTTCATCCCTTTTGATTTAGGCTGCTCCTCGGTCTACCAATGGCTATAAAGATACCAGGTGATATGCAAATGATGTTATGTGTGCTATTTCCTTCTGTCATATTTTCTTCTTGTAATGCTGTAAAATTGATGGCATTTTGTTGTGTTACTTAGGGAGAGAAGCAGGGAAGATGCTTTTACCATCGTCAGAGATAGAAAAGTGAGTACTCATCTTTCAGTATCTTCTCTTAGAGGCTATGCATTATAAACCGCTTAAGTTAAAAAGATTAGAACAAGAATCCTAATAAATTCATTTATATTTGATTTGTGATAATAGGAAATTCTGTAATGAATCTCAATTGATTGTAATTGCTTGTCGGAAATTTGTCAAATTTCATCAGATCTGTTTTTAATAATCTTTCATCAACCATATTAAGTTTTCCCCTTGTTTATCCATGGTTTGATTCTTGTCCTCAATAGATATATGTAGCTCAACAGGAGATGCTACTTGCCTGTGTAGTGCATCAGAATATAAAGATGATTAAAGATTCTCTTATACTTAATTTTATTTCATTAATGTATTTGTTGTAATTCATTATGTTAGCAAAATAAAATAATTATGTACTTCTGTTGAATTAATGTAGAAGCAAACATGTAGTGATGGGAAGTATGGAAAAGAGGCACAGGTTAAGAGTATATTGGATCTAGATATTGCTAATTTACTACTCTGGGTGAGGATTGAACTAGTGTATTAAATTCAATTACAACGGGTCTTAAAATTCTGACCCTGAAGAAAAATGATTTAAAAACCCTTTGGTTAAACAAATTTCTAACTGAATAATTATAATAGAACTGTAGTAATAGTTTGTTTTGATAGTATAATCAAGCAGAAAACCATAATATTTACTTTAATATTATTTCCAAAATTGATATTTCTGCATTCTGTCATGGAAGGTTTGAATTATGGAATAATTTATAAGGAATTGAATGACACAGAACACAAGATGGAAGGATGTGGGAGGGAGGAAGAGACAGGAAAAAAATCTGAGGGAGGGGCAATAAACAGAGAGAACTATGGTGGAGAGAGGCTTTTATAAAACACAATGAACCGTCATTAAAAGGCTGCCTCCAGTTCTAATAAAAGACAGCATAGTTCAAATAAAACAAAGTAATTCAAAATATTAATTTTCAATTCTAATTCTAAATAAAATGTTATTTTCTGTACCTATAATTTATAACTTGCCTCAATTCCCAGTAGTTTCATGGATATATATATATATATATATATATATATATATAATAACAGCTTTAAAAAGCAAATCAGTTGGTTATGAAAACGAGTCACATCAATAAATGGTAAGTTATTTTGTTACTTATTCTACTTTGCCATGATATATCCATATTGATGATTTACAGTTTACAGATACAAAAAATTAATGTATTTCCAAATCCTGATCTCCTCATTGTCCAATAGGATTGTTGGAATGTTTTCTGGTATTGTTAATTTGAACACTTGAACAGACAGCACGTGATAATATCTTCGCTTTCTGTCTTGGTGTTTTTGAACATCATGCTAATTGAATAATGTTTCAACGCTTCAGGTGAGAATTACAGAGGATTCATCTCTTATGCACTTTGTAGATCATGGTTGAAGAATGGTGTAAATGACGAAACTCAGGTTTGATTTATGCCATAGATTGTTTATTTTTTTCTTCAAAAATGATTTGGCATCTAGTTGAGAGCTCAACCATGTAATATTGACCAACTGGGTATGCCTTTATTAGTCTAGATTCATCAGGTTTTATTGTCAAAACAAGTTACAGGAAATGTTAGTGGTTCTCCTTACGTGACACTATCTATTCTTTGACAGTATACAAAAATGGAATGAGCTGGTGCCAATTAACTTCATCAAATTCTTGTGCAATCAAAGTTATAAATGCTGTACAAAACGCTGTCATTGATCTCACTAAGTTTGAGCTGGGGAGGCTTGTATTTTCAAAAATTTGATGTCTCAATGAAGTCGTGATTTATATAATGTCTTGTTATTTTAATGCTATACATTAGTAAACATTCATTATTATCTTTGTTCCACACGGCCATGTGATGTTTTTATTATTTTTGATGTTGTCGGAAGAATGAAAGGGAGATGGGAAGTAGAGTATAGTGCTCCAATGAAGGATTAGTTTTTGACCTGCAGCTTTTACCGAGTTCTACAGAACTAATGAACCATTTAGTGAGCTACCACCCATTGATAAAACTGAATAGCTTCTAATGGTAATAAAATACCCTTATCGCTCTAATATGTGTCATTTGTTTTTCATGATTTTGTGCTGAGGCTTTCATTTATAGCGGACCAAATTTGAACTGGTGTGTTAAAGTAGAGAAGCAAAAAGGAGGGATGAGGGGGGCTAAGAGAAAGGGGTTTTAAAGCATCAAAGAGCTCTTCACCACCCATGATTTCTGGGGTTTTAGGGTGTCAATTTTCATTGGTTCGACGTGTCAATTTGTTTTTTATCCAACCTGAACTGCACATAATTGGACAAGTACTATAAGTTAATTTGAATGTGAATTAGCTTTCCCAGAGAAGCATCAATTAGAAGCTTGTGGAAATAAGCTGAAGGAGCTTATCTTCAGAGAAAGTTGTTTTTGTTATCCAATCAAACACTGCTTGTCACAACTGAAGTGTTTTTGCTGCATTTGGCCCTTTTGTTGAGTGTTTTCCTGACTATGCTAGTTTAAACTTTAACTGTGGCAATTATGCTTTTCTTCTATGTGATTTTGTCATTGCATTTTTAGAAGTATTATTGCCAGTGACTTATGGTCATGGTGATTAATTGATTACTTTTATGCTTCATATAATGTCAATGTGTTCTTATGCTACATTTACCTATGCTGGGCAGCTACAACAAGAGGACGTTATGAAGTTACTTCCCAAACCATTGACTGCATCGGTGGTGGCTGGTCATATGGCAAAAACAAAGAAGATGAAGTAGGAGATAAGATGGAAGAGGTTGGTTTATCCGGTTAACTTTGTATATTCAATAATTCAAATGTTGTTAAAGAGAAAGTTTTACATGGAAAATTGCTGTTTCTTCAGTATTGTCTTACACTTATGCCTCTTTTCAAAAAAATAAAAAATAAATAAAAAATAAATAAAAAATCTTCTACTCATATTTTATATAGAAATTTATCTTATTATTCTGAACATCTGAGGTGTACAGACCCATTTCTATTTTCAGGATGAGAATCTTAATGAGCAGTTATCTTCGCAAGATCTTTTGAAGGGACATATCCAACGTGCAAAAAAGGTTCGAGCACGGTAAGTTTTTTCCTTTTCAACTTCTAGTTTATTCATTGATCAGCTAGTTATTTCTTGTGTTTGGCTCAATATGTGGTGGAGTTAATATATATATATATATATGTGTGTGTGTGTGCACACAAAGGTGCAGTTGAAACTAGCATAGTCAGGAAAACACTCAGCAAATTCTTATGTTGGCAATTTTGTGATCCTGGTGCTTGCTAAGTGATTCTATACTAGAGTTCATGCCATTTGAGGTTCTTCTGACAATATTTCCTACTGATGGCGTATATAAGCATAACACAAAAATTGCTCATTAAATAAGTGTTTATAAAATACCATTGTTAATGCAGCATTTTGGTGTTTCACTTTGTACATTGTAGATCAATCGTTCAGTATCATTCTATTAAGGATTTTGTATGCTTTTACATATTTACCAATATATAAACATGTTTTTATATTTATATAAATATTTGTAAATTTTTACTCATCTGGATATATGGACATAATTATTGTTTAACTTCTATCTATGTTGATATCAACTACTTATAGACTGTAGCCCTTTACGTGGGTTTGACTGAAAAATAAAAAAAAAAAAAAAAAAAAATCTTTTTTTACCCTTATTGGTGATCTAAATACTTATAATCCTTAGTGCTCCCCTGTAAACTAGTTGCAAAAGGAAAGTTGAGACTCAACAAAAAATCTTCTAAATTAGATGCAACAATTAACCCAAGACGTTTACGAGTTTTTAGGTTTAGTTCTGTGACATGAGTAATGTAATTTAAGACGGTCGTTTTTATCATTTTGTGATTTAAATCTCCTTAAATAGATTTAGATTTCATATAAATATTCCCATCCTTCCGCTTCGTTCAGACCAATTTTTTATGTCTCCGGAGATCTAGTTTCCTTTTGATTAACTTAAGACTCTTAATGCTTTTACCAACTCCAGGGTGTCATTGTTCTGCTGGTAATGCATGATTGCATGCAGACTTGAATGGATGAAAAATATAGATGGCAATACTTGGGTCTTTTTTGAAAAGGCTAACCTTTAAATGGGTATAATGGCTACTATTTTTGTGTTCAAATTAAACTGGACACTTTTCTCATGCGGTACACAGGGTTTATAAAATGGGTTATATATTGTTCCATGTTTGTAACTAGTGCGGCTTCCTATACACTGTCTATTGACATTGATGATTAGATGTTCCTATTGGCAAGATCCCAATTCCCAAGGGGATACTAATAGAAGGGCGTTTTTTTACTAGCAAATCTCTAGTCTTCATTGTTCACTAGAAGGAAGTTGATATATCATGCGTGAACTGACATACTGTATTGTCCCTGCTTATAGATTAAGGGAAGAACGGTTACAAAGAATTACAAGGTACAGAAGTAGGCTTAGGCTTTTGCTTCCTTCACCTGTTGATCAGCTCAGAAATGATGCGGCTGCTGGGAACTGACCTTACTGACTTTGCTGCTGGTGGCATCGATGACTGAACCGGCAGAGGCAGATCCTCTTTGGCAAATCACAACTGGTACATTGATGATTTGTTACCTCCAATATTTGTTAACCAACTGTAAATGGCACATTTTAGAATTCCTCTACTTCAGCTCCCTTACAAAACCAGATTTTTTGATTTGGTAATCACATGATGGTCCAATGTGAATTTGTGTAGTTACTTGGCATAAAGTGACTTCTGATGATTGTTCAAATGAAGTGTTGGCCTGTGGCCTTTGAACTACCAAATCAAAAAACTTGTATTAGTAAGGGAGCTCAAGAGAAGTTTATATAATGTTTGGTAGATAGAAAAATATTTTCTAGAAAGAAAATGAGAAATGCACCTACCCTATTTCCTTTCTAGGTACATTTCTCATTTACTTTCTTGAAAACATTTTTCCATGTACCAAACATTGCCTTGGAGGTGCACATTTTATCTAGTCAGGCATTCACAGATGCCTAGAGAAAAATGAGAGCTAATGTGTGATCCTGTTTGAGATGTCTTTTTTGACTTTTAAAGTAGGTAAAAATAAATTGACTCGGTGTAGATAATTCTAAGACTCAAACGCCTATAGTGCATAGGTTAATTAATTCCCTTTTGGTGACTCTGAAAGAATATATGCCAATTGAATCTGAACTTTGGAGCCATTTTCTTTTTGCCCACCTGCAGCCACAATCTTCTTTGACTGCATAGACACTAAAGCATCGATATATCATGATACGGGTACGTGTGCTGGATGCGATATTTCATGATACATCGAATGTGATGATTTTCAAAATTTGATAGGATTAGCATGAGTATTTTGAGTTCTGAACAAGTGCTATATAGATATTTATAACGATAAACCAAAATATTATTCTTTTTTAAATAATTTAATTAAAATATAGTAATATAAATAATCTTTTTAAATAGTAAAATATGTGATCCATATCATGAAATGCAAAAAGTATAATGTAGGGAGAATTAAATTCAGGTCCCACACATGTAAATTAATTACTATAAGATTTAGTGACAATTAAATTAAGGAAATTGATAGTAAAATTAGTTGTCAATTTCTTTGGTTCAGTTGTCATTGGATATTGCGGTTGTCAATTTTCTTAGTTTAATTGTCACTGGATATTATAGTAATTAATTTTTATGTGTTGAACTTCAATATAATTCTCCATATACTGTATCGTGTCGGATAAACCCCATGGGGTTTTTTTTTAATTTTTTAAATTATCGTGCATCGTGTTTTTAAGTTGAAATTTGGTTTGATAATTTCCAGTACTATAATAAATTTTTATTGAAACTTAAAAATTAGGGAGTATAGCACTTAGGGCCCTCAAAATGGGTTGATTTTGATGACTCTGCAGGCTTAAGGACCTCGTTTGTGTTCATTGCTGAAATGACCTAGTTGCCTGGCATTTTCTTCCCTCTTCTTCCCTATCCTCGTTTGTGTTCATTGCTGAAATGACCTAGTTACCTGGCATTTTCTTCCCTCTTCTTCCCTATCTTCCTCTTCTGACATGCAGTGGTGGGACACATGATATACAATACAAAAAATCTCTCGCTTTCATAGACTTGTGAAAGCCTTAGATTTGGAGTTTGGTTAATGGCGGCATCCACTTTTGCTTTGGGTGGCAAATTTAAGCGAAATGAGGTGGCGAGGGTGAAATCTCATGGGAAGATTTCAACGCTTTGATTGGTTGTAGTAGAGTCAGTAATTCAACCAGACCAAAAGGGTCGGGCTTAGAATATCATATTATTTTTAAAAAATTCATATAGTCAAGTTTGATCCTAGCACTTTTAGGCTTATTTGGTCTTAAATAATTTTGTTAAGAAAAAATATTATTTTAGTTTTAAAAAATAAAATAAAAAATAATAACTCATTAATTTTATACTTAAGTAATTTTGTTACTGTTTTATTGTATTACATGTAATTTATTCATTAATATTTTTAGTATTTATAAATTAATATTTTAGTTGTTTAAATATTTTTTTTATTATGGTCATATATAAATATTTTATATATTTCAATTAAATTATATTATTTTAGTTATTATCAAGTTGATCTTAATTCAATTACAGTTGGACCATTAATTTAAACTAATTGTCTTGATTATTTTGAAGTTTTTAATAATTTTTCGATAAATTATACTTTTTATTCTTAATAGTATGAGAAAAATAATCATCATTATATTATATAGGGTTAATGAGCAAAATAAACCTTGAAGTATTGCTTGAAAAGCACTTTTAATTTTGAACTCTTAAAATATGTAAAATAAAATTTAAAATTTTTAAATTCGTGGCAAAATAAATCTTGACTGTTAAATTTTTTAACGCCATTACTATTAATGCGGATACTGTTCACCGTAGGTCTTAGTTAATGTTGATGTGTCATTGTGAATTAACGTCATAGATTTTAAATTATTATATTATTATCATTTTGAAGCTTGAACTATTATGTTAATAGTGTTTTAGATTTTGAACTTTGAAATTTTGAGCAAATTATTTCTATTGTTTATGTATAGGACGTTAACTATTATGTAAATCAAATTAGTTTTAGCATGGTTTGTTGCGGTGACTATGTTGTTGATCGTGTCAAATGATCTATAATCTTGTGAAATGACATTTTTTGTTTCCTTTTTTTGCAACATTTTTCAAACGATTGGCATGTTATGTTTTCGTATACTCTATAACTTTAATTTATTTTTATTTTGAATAATGTTTATTTATTTAATGATGAAAATTTGGGATCATATTTGAAAAGAAGTTTAAGTATCATCGGATTTTATAGACAATGAATGCGAAAGTCGATGATTTCATCAATGAATTTAAAACTCAAATTAATCAATTAATTAAAATTATCTAATATTTAAACTTTTTATCAAAAGGAATTGCAAGTTTTCACCATTAAATAAATATATATTATTTGAAATAATATTAAATTAGAGTTATAGAGTATACGAGAGTATGAGATACCAATCGTTTGGAAAATATTATAAAAAAAGGCACAAAAAAGTTTATTTCACAAAATTATAGGTCATTTATCATGGCTAACTATGCATTTATCGTGGTGAATCATGCTGAGATTAATTTGGTTTGCATAATAGTCAATGTTTTATATAGTGGAGATAATTTGTTCAAAATTTTAAAGTTTAGGATCTAAAATGCTTCTAACATAATAGTTTAGGATTCAA